TACTTGCAAGTAGCGATCGGGAGCATTCAGTTAGCCACCTGTAACTTTGCCGAGCTGCGTTTACATTTTGGTACACATATATGGGGCCTCTTGGCTTCAAGGCCCACCTGCAGAGAGGACATATATGCATACCGTCGGTGCCAAGGAGATACAGCTGAGGTACAGCAATGTAAAGATCAAAGTAGCTTGTAAATTTCCCTTCATTATTTTTTTTTTTTAAGTTTTCAGCGTTATGATAGTCTATTACTCAAAAATGCAACATTGTACCCAGATTGTGCTTTTTGGTGGTATTTAATAACCACTGTGCAATTGTTTTTTTGGTTCTTTTATAGTTAAAGAAAAAAAAAAAAAACACAACCACCACACAATTAGGTTCTGACATTTCCCTTTCATTTCTTTACCTTTAAAAAATATCCCAATCATTGGTAGCCAGTGTCACAAACTCCCACCCAGAAAAAAAAAAAAAGAAAAGAAAAAGAAATACAGATTTTACTGGTACCAGTGAAAGCCCTAATATATATATAAAATCCACAGAATGATGGTGTTGTCCCTGGTACCAGTAAAGTCGGTTTCTCCTTTCTTTGTAAAATGTGATATCAGGATGTGGTACATATTGCAGCAGCTAACAAAAAATATATAAATATAATATGTTATCACTGGTGGTCAGTGGCCCTTTAAGACCCCCAACCCTACAAGTGCATAAACTTGTGATGGCTGCGATTACTTCACAGTGATCACAAGGTAAAGAGCCGCTCCAGTTGGCCTTGTACATAGTGACTGATCAGAACCGTCCAAATGACATCTCAGATTAGAGTTCTTCACAAGTGCACTGGCTACTTGTGTGCATTTCCTAAAGTGCCAATTATAAACAGCACTGCAGAAATATAGGCCCAACGTGTTTTTTTTTTTTTTTAAATACTGCAGTACAGAGGGGGGCTAGTAAAGGGTTCATAATCAGGGAGCTAGTGTTATCAAGACCAGTATAAAAATTTGGCAAATACAATCCCAGGACTGCACATATTTCAATGGCATTTTAGCTGAATCAAGAAACAAAAAGATAATTCCACCATCACTGTACAATGGGAGAGGAGGAGTTAAGATGAAGAATAAATTGCATCATACGTTCTAATGGCAAAATCAGAAAAAAAAAAAAAAAAAAAAAGTTGTCTGATAACTGTGCCCATGATTCTAATTATTAAAGAAAAGTACAGAAACATTTTGATCAATTGATTTGGCTCAACTGGCTAGGGGGAAGGAATATGCTCCCATCTTACCAAAGGCAATTTAAATATAGGTGACCAGGATGGCTATTTTTCTATCTGCTAGATCAAAACTAGCAATATGCAACAGGTTAGAAAAAGGAGCAGAAGTGGACAACAGCTATATTTTAATTTACCAGTAAAAGGCCAATGAACCTAAACATCTAAAATGTTCCACTCATCACCACATTCCCTTGCTCTATTTTTTTTTTTTTTAATACCAATTGATCATGACAAAAACTAAATATTATAGAATCATTGCTTAACAAAAAGCTATTATTTCTAGGAACAAAGTATACTCCACACAAACCTCATTATGAGATTTTGTTTATTACACCCCCATATTGCACAGTATTTCACAACAAATCAAAAAAGGTACAGAAAAAAATGAAAGCGAAAAGGAGAAGCAACCCAACCCAAATTACTTACCCAAGCACTTGCTAACAGCCAAGAAAACTTTCCCTTTACTTTTTGTAAAGCCACTGCATAGGAAGTGAAGAGCCTTAAGCAGGGACACAGATGGCACAATTTGTTCCTCTGCTAGCACTGTAGAGAAGTGCAAGCCCTTTGACATGCTGCTATTTGGGTTCCCACTGGAGAGATTCCCATCACTTCCTGTTTGCTTACTTCGCTAAACAGCCCTTGTGTCACTGCCTGTACACCTATCCTCTACAGCAGGCATCACTAAATAGCACACCGCGGTCCTTAAACAGACCAAATGACAGTCCTACAAGGCACGTGGCTCCGCCATTTAGCAGCCTGGATGTCCTCTGCTGTCTGATATCCTCCTCCCTTAGCCCCCCATCGCCATCGTAATTATCTTTATAGCAGGTAGAAGGCATAGCATGTCCAGCCAGAGGGCGGGAACTACCCAGTTTTTCAGCAAGTCAGTGATTGGTTGTTAGGTGTTCCCAGCAACCAATCACCTGCCTGTTAACATGAAAAGCATGTCCCACCCTCTGAAGGGATGCTCTGCTTTCTGCCTTCTACCTGCTGTGTAAGGTAGGAACAAAAAGGTTAGAGGAAGGTTGTGAATGGAAGGGGGTAATGACAAGAGGGGGGGGGGGTAGTCATATAAAAAAGACTGGGCTGCAAGGAAAAAAAAAAAAGAAAAAAAAAAAAAAAAAGAGGGCTGTAAAGGGAACCAATACACAAAAAAGGAGGGCTGTAAAGGGAACCAATACACAAAAAAGGAGGGCTGTAAAGGGAACCAATACACAAAAAAGGAGGGCTGTAATGGGGACTGGTGTGCAAGGAAGGGGGGGGGGGGAAGCTGTGAAGTGGACTGAGATACAAGGAAGGGGGGCTGTGAAGAAGACGGGGACACAAGGAAGGGGGTTGGGAAGGTGACTGGGATTACGAGGGGGGCTGTGATGTGAAACTGTGACAAAGGACACTGATGTGAAAGAGAAGGGGACTGATGGGAGGTGGGGGCTAAGGACACTGATATAAAGGGTGGGGGTCTGTGATGTAAGAAGGGGGGCTGTGATGTGAAAAGGGGGGACACAGGACATTTAGGTAAAGGAGGCGCTGTGATGTAAAATGGGGGAACTTGGATGTTAAGGGGCTGTGATGTAAAGCAGGCACTATAATGTAAAGAAGGGGCTTAATTGTAAAGGGGGCTGTATTGTAAAGAGGGGGTTACGCAATATAAAAGGGGGCTCTGTGGTATAAAGGGGGGACTGTGATGTAAAGGGGAAACTAATGTAAAAGAGGAGGGAGGTGTGATATGAAGAAACAAAGACTCGGACCTTTGCTGGATGAAAATGTAATGACTGTACGGATGTGAATTTTAATTCAATATCCCTGCTCTACGGCTTCTCATCTGTGTCTCAAAGTGAAGTGCGTGTCACGCCAAGACATCAAGCCGTTGGATATGCCTAGCTATACCCGAGCCTCAGGAATTGCTAGGCTGACCCAGAGATTTACATATTCTTGTTAAAATTGTATTTTTAAAACAACCAATTACATGTTCAGTCTAAGGCATTTAGATTAAAGTCCAACAAAACCCTCCTAAATAATTAGGGTCATGCTAAGACTGCATATACAGTAATAAATATGCATCTTTACATTTATTTTTTTAGCCAAGTACTGTGAAGAAACCCTATGCTGATAGCACTTGGGGAGGCACACCACCACTCTCATACAAGCAGTGTCTCAGCTCTTCAGCCGTCAGACACGCCCCACTGAACACTGCTCTATTAAACACTGTTCTAGCTCCCTAAGCAGAGCTGTTTAAAGTGATAATAAAGCCTTTTCTTTTTTTCTTAAAAACAACAAAACAGGTTATACTTTTCTGCTTTGTACAAATCCATTACACAGAGCAGCCCGATCCTCCTCTTTTCAGGTCCCCAGCCGGCGCTGCTGTCCCCTTCCTCCTGTCGGGTGCCCCCATAGCAAGCAGCTTGCTACCGGGGCACCCGAGCAGGCACGCTCCCAAACCGTGGCTCTGCATGTCCATTCACACAGAGCTGTGGCTCAGCCCCGCCCCGCCCCCTCCTGATTGGCTCACTGGCTGTGACTGACAGCAGCGGGGGCCATTGGCTGCCTCTGCCAATCAGGCATGAGAGTCCCCGGAGAACCGAGGTTCTTGTGGACATCCCTGGATCAAGAGGGGACTCAGGTAAGTTTTAGTGGGGCTGCTACACACAGGTTTTTTTTACCTTAAACCTTGACACTTTAAAGCTGAACTTCACCCTCTTCGTCAACACTTATTAGATTTAATCCTTATGCTGCTAGCATTAGTAAATAGATAGGAAAGTATATCCTATTTACTTAATTTAAACCTTTTTTTTTGTTACATTTCTTCAGTTACTTCCTGGTTTCCATGCCTGGGAAAATTATGTCATACATACCAGGAGTCTTAAGGAGGGGTTTTCTTAGCTACGCACACCCTCCTGTCTGCATGCCTGAACTAAGGGCAGATAGATTCAGGAAGTAAATGCTGCATGACTCATCTGCCCGAACTCAAGATGGTCCCAGCCAGATATTCTAAGTGGGTGTTTTTCACATGTGACATCTCCGCAAAATAAAGCATGGAGACGCTGATGGATGGGCAGGTTTGTTTTGAATATTAAAAATGAATTACACAGCGCTTTTGGTTTGTGGTGCTCAGATGCAATCATGTTCCACTTTAATAGAGCAATGTTCAGGGGTGTGTGCTGGGAGAGCTGGGCTGCCACTTGTGTGCGAGTACAACAGTGACTCTCCTAGTGTCACCAGCACGTTTTTTTTTTTTTTTTAATTCTTACTGCAGCACAAGAGGGAAAAAAAAAAAAAAAAAAAAAAAAAAAGGCTTAATTATTCAGTCTTGCTGTATAATAAATATGACTATTACACAAATTATGGAGGGTTCAGCTGGGCTTTAAACATAAAATTGCTACCATTTTTTAATCTAATAGTTATACTTTCATTTGGTGGATATGCAAAAACTATTAAGTACTAAACAGCCATAAAGCCAAATAAAAATATACTTCAAGGATCCCTTGAAATGCTACATTATGTATTATCTACAATTTTGTAAAACACAACTATGAAATCTCTTTATTCTCTCTATTACACTAACAAAGAACTTCTAGTCTCTAGCCCTGAGATTACTTACTAGCTATCTTTGGGATGGCTAAATGAGATTTCATTTTAGTCAACTGGTTATTCTAGCTGACCACCAATGATTCCTGATGGAACTTTTTTTTGGCCTTTGGTAAATGAACACACAAAGTAAGCAGATTGTTATATACATACTTGTACTTCTGAAAGAAGTTGGGAGCCTCGAAAAGTTTTGACCACTCTGCTTTACCCAACAAGATCTCATCAGTTATAGCCAGCCCTGTGGACATAAGGGAAAAAAAAAAAAAAAAAAAACCCCACAGATTTAATCCCAATGCAAAAAGACTGATGACAAAAACTGAGAATATATGAAATAAATGGGTGAAATGAACAATTTCTAAAAATATTTTCTAATAAGCAGATGGAAAAAGGCAGAACCGAAAGAAGTTAAAGTATATTATATGAACATTGTACCTCGTTTAAACTCTTCCACCATAACCATTCTTGTAGAAACAGAAACATTGTAGGTGGAATTCTGCTGAGGGTAGGCTGGGGTGATAATAGGCATTAGGTGGTACCGATCACTGGGATTCACCTGAGATGAAAAAAAAAAAACAAACAAAAAAAAAAAAAATAATAAAAAACACACCACAGCTTTAGTTGTACATCTAATTGTAGAGGATAATAGCTGCATTGTTAAAAGAAACATTTACCTCAAACAACAAACTATTACATGCAAGGGGGTATATACTCTAAATGTAGGTTTAAAGTTTACTAAATACACTATATTGCCAAAAAAATTGGGACACCCCACCAAACCATTGGATTCAGGTTTTACAATCACCTCCATGGCCACAGGTGTATAAAATTAAGCACATAGATGTGCAGACTGCTTCTACAAACATTGGTGAAAGAATGGGTCGCTCTCAGGAGCTCAGTGACTCCAAGCGTGGTACCGTAATAGGTTGCCACCTGTGCAATAAGTCCATCCGTGACATTTCCTGCTACTAAATATTCCACAGACAGCTGTTAGTGGGATTATAACAAAGTGGAAACAACTGGGAACAGCAGCAACTCAGCCACCAAGTGGTAGGCTACGTACAATTACAGAGTGGGGTCAGTGCATGCTGAAGCACGCAAAAGTCACCAACTGTCTGCAGAGTCGATGGCTAAAGACCTCCAAACTTCATGTGGCCTTCAGATTAGCACAATAGTGTGTAGAGAGCTTCATGGAATGGGTTTCCATGGCCGAGCAGCTGCATCCAAACCTTCCATCACCAAGTGCAATGCAAAGAGTCGGATGCCGTGGTGTAAAACACGCCGCCACTGGACTCTAGAGCAGAGGAGATGTGTTCCCTGGAGGGACCAATCACGCTTCTCTGTCTGGCAATCTAATGGACAGGTCTGGGTTTGGAGGTTGCCAGAAGAACGGTACTTGCCTGACTGCATTGTGCCAAGTGTAAAGTTTGGTGGAGGGGGGATTATGGCGTGTGGTTGTTTTTCAGGGGTTGGCCTTGACCCCTTAGTTTAAGTGAAGGGAACTCTTAAGGCGTCAGCACACCAAGACATTTTGGACAATTTCACGCTCCCAACTTTGTGGAAAGAGTTTGGGGATGGCCCCTTCCTGTTCCAACATTACTGCACGCCAGTGCACAAAGCAAAGTCCATAAAGACATAGAGGAGCGAGTTTGGAGTGGAGGAACTTGACTGGCCTGCACAGAGTCCTGACCTCAACCCCATAGAACACCTTTGGGATGAATTAGAGCGGAGACTGTGAGCCAGGCCTTCTCATCCGACATCATTGCATGACTTAACAAATGTTCTTCTGGAAGAATGGTCAAACCTTCCCATAAACACTCCTAAACCTTGTGGACAGCCTTCCCAGAAGAGTTGAAGCTGTTGTAGCTGCAAAGGGCGGGGCCAACTCAATATTGAACCCTACGGACTAAGTAGAATGCCATTAAAGTTCATGTGCGAGACAAGGAGCAGGATTGCTTTCTAATTACTGATAGATCTCAGCTGGTGTCTTGACTTTCCATGACTTTTTGCGCCTCCCTTTCTTCATGTGTTCAGAAATTTAAGTTACGTGTAATAAAATGGAATGACACAGGAAGTACTGAACTTATTTGGTTTCTTTCTACTTATGGATTGCATGGGTTTTTACCAACATGTGAAATTGTCACGTCAATAGCACCTTTAGAAATATATAGACTGAGAAAAATGGTGACATGTTTAATACTTTTTTTTACCAGCTGTAGCTGTGTGCCAGATATAAGGGTTTATGGGTGCAGTTTGCAGGGGGGGGGGGGGGGGGGGGGGGGGGGGGGGGGGGGGGGGGGGCAGTATCAAAAGCTGGGCCATTCCCTCAAATCACAACAGTGATAATAAAGAACCTGCAGCTTTACCTCTACCCCTTTGCCCTATAACAGAAGTACTGCTACAGGGCTGCGCAAAATCAAGTATGTATACGAGATTTGCATTTCTGGGTAGAGGGCACACGCGCGCTGCCCCACCCATGCCGCAATTGGTGGCTACAGATGTCAATCACCGGGTCCCGGCCGGAGATACCCCACCAGCACCCGGTGATCACTGAGAAACAGTGACAGGGAAGAGACCTGTGTGTAAACACAGGTCGCTCTCCTGCCAGCAATAACATGCTGCTGTGTAATTGTGGGCCTTTTTTTGTTTATAGCGCAAAAAAATAACCGCACAGGTGATCAAATACCACCGAAAGAAAGCGCTATTTGTGGGGGGGGGACGGACACATACATTTCATTTATGTACAGAATTGCATGACTACGCAATGGTCAGTTAAAATAACGCAGGGCCGCATCACAAAAAATGGCCTGGTCAGGAAGGGGGGTGCAAATCCTCTGGAGGGCAAGCGGTTAAAACATTCATTTGAGTCTCCAAAATAAAGTTTTCCATGAATAAACAACTCTCCTTAAAAAAACAAAACACAAGTTATGACAGGCATACAGATGATCGACTGCAATGTACAACAGAAACATTACTGACCCTTGGGTCCCACACAGGTAAATTAAGATTGCACTCTTCTGGTTGCTTCAGCAACACTGGGTTAGGCCATTCCCTGTCAAAGAAGAATTAAACAGGAAACCATCATAAAAATTATAATACCTATACTATGCAATGAAGGAAAGTTACATTTATTTTGGCTACTTAAAATATCAAACCAAGATAAAATCTCCAGATTTACTAAAGCTGTATGACCGGATGATGATAGCCAATTTATTATTTTGAAACGCTTATTAAACCTTTTTTGTTGCAGATTTTAGGTGCTGTTTGGTGGGTGCATACATACTGGCTTAACAGTATCTAATAGATATAGGCACAGGTTCATTACTATAATTAAGCAATTTATATCAAAGACTCAGATATGCTTCAGTATTTTGCCCTATTTTATTAAAAGAAAAGGAATATTTTCACCAATGTAAAACTAAAACGTATCCAGCACAGAGCTCAAACACATACACATTTCCCCGTGTTATATCTTGTGTTGTTGCAAGTTCTGAAAAATAAGTAGTGATCCAGCCAGAAATACAGGCAACTCCTAATTGCTGTAGTGAATAGACAACACTTGCTCTACTGCACTAAAATTCCCAAGCAGTGTTGTCAGCCCTGCTGGAGTAGAAGGATAACCCCCCCCCCCCCCCCAAAAAAAAAAAAAAAAAAAAAAAAAAAAAAAAAAAAAAAAAAAAAAAAAAAAAGCTACTTTTCTACATCCAGGTTAATCAGGAAATAGTGCAGACATGCCTCTTCCCACACCAACATAATATCCCTTGAGAGCTTTGCTGTGATCTTTTTACTGGTATGCTGATGCACCTCTGATCAGCTCATCTATATGTCCATCTGCCCTTTCCTGTAGCATGTCTCTTGTAAACACGTGTGCACTGCAACACACCTCCTTGGTTCCTTCAGTGCCTGCCCTCCCCTCTCCCAAACGAAGATCTGCTATACAGGGATTTCATGAGGCTGATATCAAGTCAAACTCAGGGTTGCATGAAAAAAAAAAAAAAAAAAAAAAAAAATCAAAAAAAAAAGCAACATTAGTTTGTGTTACATCTGGAGTTTATAGCTGAATTCCAAGAATTCATCCTTGTAAAAAATGAATGCACACTAGGACTTAAACCAACAAAGTGCATGACACCTCTTGGACTTCTCTCTATTAGCAGCTGTTGCTGTAGTTCTGGGAGCCCGACACTGGATCTTCTGGATTTGCTGCAGCTGCTATGTTTGCCCCTCCCCTCGCTCAATCACAGAAGCCTTTGTATTATGTGAACACATTCACACAATAGAAAGGCTTCTGTAAATGGGCAGCAGAGGGGAGAAGTAGGCAGAGCTACTCTGTGCTTCTCTCCTCTCTCAGCCCAGAGTGTGTTCTGGAACTTACCATTTGGAAAAGACCAGGAAAAAACTTATGGACAAGAGTAGACGCTATGGCATTTGGATACAGTTGGCATGTTCTTGCCACTAACATAGCCCAGGAAACGCCACCAAGAAATCCAAGGATGTTTGAATATATGTTATGGCCTAAGGAAAACAAATATAGGGAAACAATGAATTTTCTGGAATGCATAACATTAATGTAAAAAAGTTTTGTTGAAAGGAATGCTTACGTTTGGCCCAAAGTTTGATTGCTCTTAAAGTTAACCTGAAGTTATCAATGTTCGGAACTAAATGAAGGATTTCATCAGTTACACGACAACCTAAAAGATTTAAGATAAAACTTAGTGAAACAATTAATGTAACTCGCTGTGTTTATATTACATTACATGGACAGGAATGTAATAGGTAAAATAATTGACATTTAAAGTGGTTGTAAAGGCACAAGAAAAAAAAAACAAAAAAACCCCCCCACAAACAATCTGTGTGCAGCAGCCCCCCCAGCACTACCTGAGCCCCATCATAATCGAGCGATTTGCAAAAAAAGCCTCAGCTCTCCTGTGACTCTCCCTCCTCATTGGCTGAGACAGCCATTGGCTCCCGCTGCGGTCAATCACAGCCAGTAAGCCAATGAGGAGAGAGGGCGGGGCTGTCCTGATCCCGAGACTGAATGGACACAGAGCAGTGGCTCAGGAGTCTGCTTCGGTGCCCCCATAACAAGCTGCTCTGGGGGCACTCGGCAGGAGGAAGGGGCCAGGAGAACTGGCGAGGGGACCAGAGAATAGGAGGATCGGGAGGAAGGGGCCAGGAGAACTGGCGAGGGGACCAGAGAATAGGAGGATCGGGGCTGCTAAAAGCAAAACCATCGCACAGTGCATGTAAGTAAAACAGGTTTGTTACGAGTTTTTAAACATCACATGCTTTTCTTGTCAAATGAATCAGGATATAAAGCAGACCTCTAGGAGAGGTACAATTCCTGCCAAAAAGAGACAGAGTAACAGAGAGAAAAAAAAAAAAAAAAAAAATGTAATACAAAGATCCTGGGGCAAAAATAAAGTCTTGTCCTCCATATCTGTATAGAGATTGATGTTGCGGATTTGCAAAGAGAAAGGAATTTTGTACTTGCCATAAAATCTTTTTACTTGAGTTTAAAGGACACAGGCTTCAGAGACAACTGGGTAATACTGCTGCCTATAGGAGGCTTTGAACACTGGCAAAAAAAACCTGACTAGCCAGGGATAATTCCTCCTACTCCCGCAATGCCTTGGTTTTGTAGAACAGTATTGAAAATACATTATAAAAACACAAAACCTGGGTCCCTCAATGAATTTCCAGAAACTTATTTTATGCCAAGTACAAACTTTCTATTTTTGTCCTTGTTCAGAGACAAAAGAATTCAGAGACTATTACGACATCCAAAAGCAGTCCAACTAAAGGGTGGGCAGCACACTAAAACAGGCCCACATAACCAAACAATATAAAGCGCATGGCTATCTATAGCTCAAATAGCCACCTGAAAATGGCATCAGGTGAGGCCTGAACATTCACCTGGTAAAAAACGTAGACAACATCTGAACAGAAGGGGGAGATGGAATCCTTGCAAATCTGGTAGAGAGTTGCCCGATGGCAAAGCACTCACAGATCTAGTTTGCGTTAACAGAAAAGGATGGAAATCGATCCTTAAGACCATGAGATTGAATGATGATTTGTCACATTAATTTTTCTTTGAGCACTGTGAATGGGTGTGTTCAATAACACAAGAAATAAGAACAGTTTGTATGCTATCAGCTTAAGTATATTTATTTGTTCATTCTTGTGAGTTAGATGAGGATCAGATCCTATTTTATGGCAAATTACTGCAGAAAACCAGCAAATTCACGTTTTCTTGCCACTGCAATTCATTTAAGGCTGTCAGATCCACAATTGGGCAGATACCCCCTTGTCGATCTCTGAATTCGAAAGTGCTCTGAAGCTAACAGTACACGAAAAAGTTTGGAAAGGGCCAAAAGCAAAGCAAAATGCCTGAAAGTCAAATCCCAGCAAGCTCTACAATCTTTGGTCCAGCAGGGTTCAGGTTTGGCCTCCAAGGATAATTGTCAGCAAACACTGATCCTGATAGCTGCATAAAAAGACTGAATTTTCTCAACAAAGCAATGTGAGAGCACCCCGACCTAAAACATCCTGCTATACAATCTCACAAGAGGAGAGATCAGCCACAACAATTCTAGTCAATCTGGGGCCAGGGATAAACCCCACTTATATGCTTTCCAAATCTGGTTTAACCTTCACCTAATGTTGACCTTTACATTACTGTACACTACATGTAAGACTTCTTTCTGCACAATAGTGACATTCTTATGTTGCTAATATTCACAGTAAAAAGACAAAAATGATTACATTTGTAAGTTTAGTATATTTCCTTGTTCTCCTCTACTACATAAAAACAATGATGTCATCCTAAAGAAAAATTAAACAAAAAATAATATACCATAACCATTAATAATAAGCATACCATTAAGACTCCGTATACATCTGATATCCAAGTTCTTAAGCAGGCTATCATCCCGCAGGTCCAAGTCCTCAGGAATTGTCTGAAGTGCAAGTCTTGCAAATAAAATATCAATCTAAAAATAATGTAGAATCAAAATATAAAAAAGTTATTTAGCACAGTAAATTGTGCTATAAAAAGGTTTGACAGTCCTGAACTGCTAATATACGTAAAATAAGTATTGAACATCATGCTCTTGAGAGAGCTCTTTGCTTTTACCCATCATGAGATGTTTCTTGTGTGACACCTTGGTAATGAACAACCTTTTTATAGGCCATCACTTGAGACTGAACCAGCTGATATTAATTTGCACTGACAAGTGGCAGAATTGCTAATTACTGATTAATATTCAGGATTTATATATAGCGCCAACAGTTTGCGCAGTGCTTTACAATGTTCCTGATAGATTTCAGCTGGTGTCTTGGCTTTCCATACCTTTTTGCACCTCCCTTTCTTCATGTGTTCAATACTTTTTCCCTGGATCATTTCATTTTATTATTATTACACATAACTTAAATTTCTGAAATTGTTTTGTTTTCTTTGTATGTATGGATTGCATGGGTTGTTACCGACATGTGGTGACATTTTCATGTCAATAGCACCTTTAGAAATATATTTACTGAGAAAAAAATGGTGACTTGTTCATTACATATTTTACCTGCTGTAGATCTGTACATTTAAAAGCTTTGTGGTGTAAAAATACTCTACCACACTTTAAAATTTACTTGCAAGTTAGCTTTAGAATCTGTACCAGACTGTTAAAAACATTAACTATGGTAGAGCTTTTTCCCCAATGTTGGGTTATAACTGTACAAAAAAAAAAAAAAAAAAAAAAAAAAAAAAAAAAAAGTAAATTCTAATTATCAGACAACTATTACTTAAATAAGGTTTTGTTTTGCAGGGGAAAAATGTAAAACCCTTGTATGCTTCACTGGCAGTTGAAGCCCTCAATTCCACCATCATATACAACTCAATCACAATAAACAGATAATAAATGTAATTTCCATTATTACCTCTATCCCATCAAAGCAAAGTTTAATCACGGGCACATATGCTTCTTCTACAGCCTGTAAAGGAAAAAAGGGTCAATGGTAAGCATCTTACAGTAAAAGAAATAAATACACATAATAAAGACGCAGGAAGGATTCCGGAATAGTTCTAGAGTACATCTCTTCTCTGCAGTAGACTTTGAAGACATCAATTTACTGCAGCTCCTTCACTGACAAATCACAGGTTGAAACAGGACATGAACAGGTACACCTGTCCTGATGTATGCATGAGAGCTACTATTCCTGGCCTCTTTCTGAAAATGCTAGATACCTGGCTGTGTCTAGCTTTAATGCTTTTCGAACTGCAGTGTAGCCTGCAGTAGTGTACAGAAAGGTTGCCAAGCTGGCTAAATACTACTTACATGTATCTCAAAAGTGTATTCAGCTTTCTGCCAAAGAGCGGTTTCAACTAGTACGCTTATTTTAAAGTGGTCATTATGGTAATGCGCATTTAATACTGATGCCAAACAGTGTATCTAAGGTATACTGGATGATGTGGTCCCACAGACACTTACTAAAAAAAGGTGGTGATCTCCAGATCACCATTTCAAGCCCTGGAATACAATACTGGAAATCAGAACACCCTCTGGCTTCAGAGTAGTGGATACGTATAATGGGCTTTACCTTGAGATATGAATGTCTAATTTACCAACATCAACGCTGCCCCAATAAATCTGAACGTGAGTGGGAAGACTGGTTGAATACCTCTGGACTTGCCCATTTGATTTGGTGGCACTGACATTATCAGCCGATCTCCTTAAACTAACCAATGTCTATTTTCTCCTTTTATGGCTTTGTAAAGTCTGTTTGAGAATGAATGTACCTGCAACCTATGTAATCTGTTAGGCTACATTCACACTGCATTTATTCGTGTTTGCCACATTATTTTTACAGGACACGGGACTCAAAAAAAAAAAAAAAAAAAAAACACCTGACCCGCAATGGATCAGTGTGAAGCATTCCATAGGAGTACATGGTCACATGTTTTTTTCTTATCCCCCCCATTTTTTTTTTTTTTTTTTTTTAAACACAAAGGCAAAAGACAAATAGATCAGTGTGAAAGCAGCCTGTGTATCATATAGTGTCATGCTGTTTTGTACAGACAACTGAAAATGCTGGAATTTTGTACTTTTTTTTTTTTTTTATAGAAAAACACACACCACACAACAAACTTACACGTAGGTCCTTCACTTCATCTTGAAGTTTCAGCTTCTCATAAAAAGATGTAAAGAAGTCCGTTCTTTCAACATGTCTAGGTGCCACACACAAGGCATCGATATCAGCACCTGTAAATCAAGCCAGGGTTACACAACTTGACAAGACCTCAGAGTGTCTTTAAAGAAAAGCATTATTAAAAAACGGACTTCAAATCAGGTTCTCAGTGCATTTTAGGAAACAAAACCATTCTAGTGGGGGGGAAACTGTTAAAGTACATCTAAGCACATATAAAACATTAGGCAGAATTTCCTTCACTTCCTCTCTGGTGCACTCATCAGGAACTGAGAGAATACCTTTCCAACATGAGATATACAGGGGTTGGACAAAACCAAATAAGTATTGGAAACACTACATGGATTTGCAGGCATGAAAGCGACAATATTATTCGTGTTGAAAGTGGAAGTGATGCAACACGGTTTTGCTTCCGCTGTGTGATGAGACACCTAGTTAACAGTTGGGAAGCCTCACTGTCATCATTCACTGCGTGGGCTACTAGTAATACTGAGTCAAGTCAGAGCTTACCAAGCTTCAAAGAGGGCAAATTGTTGGTGCCCACTTAGCTGTTGCCTCTGTGACTCAAGTTGCCAATTTATCTGCGGTGTCACGAGATAGTATCATAAGGTTATGATGGCATATACAGCTTCCGGGAAAACGTAGTCTGATCAGCATAAGCACGGTCCACATGGTCAACTGACTGAAAGACAAAAAAGTACATTGCGCAGGATTGTGACCCAGAATAAGAAAACAACTGCTGCAAAAGTGACTGCAGAGCTCAATCTCAGTCTTCATGGGACTGAGATTGAGCTCTGCAGTCTCTTGCAGCAGCTTTCTTATTCTGAATCATAATCCTGCACAATGTCCTTTTGACTCTTTTGGTCAGTTGACCATGCTCATTGCTCAGGCGGTTTCCCAGAAACTGCATATGCTGTCATAAGGTTTCCCCCATTTTCCTGCTGAAGTTGCTATTCAGTTAAATATTGCTTTTAGTTAACCACCTGTCGACACACCCATTTACAGTTTTACTGCTACAAGGCAGTAGCAATATGCAAAATCATACATAGATAGAGATATATATATATATCTATCACATGCACGGTCATACCCATGCGGTCATTGGCTCCTGTAGGTATTGATCACTGGGTCCCAGTCAGTGATTCATGGCTAGGACTCGGCAATCGGGCTAGCAGGTCTAATAGAAGAAAATAATCAGCTCCATGTCACACTGTGAATGAAGACTAGGGAGTGAACATAAATGTATTTAGGTATCAGGAACAGCAAATGATCTACTCTCCTCTGCCTTCCACTAAAGCTAATGGAGCACAGATCGTATGACAGCCAAAACTCAAAGTAAACACCATCTCCTCTAACATTATCACACTGGAGAAATGCCCTAAAAAAAAAAAATTTCACAAAACACGGGAACCATGGTTATCATTAAGGACATGTGATGTTTTTCAGTTGGACTTGTTCATGTCTTTTGTCCTCAGGGCATAGTTATGTCTTGTTTTTGATTGTAAAAAAAATATAATACGTCACTTCTGAGTTTTTTCTAGATCAATGAATGGATGTTTACTGGTCTACCTCCCTTCTACCTGGTGACATCAGCCATGCCGATCTAAGGCTTGCAGGTGGGACAGCTTGGGAAATATGGCATGGGAGGCCTATGTCCTGGGGGTTTGTGTAAACGAACAGGCAGCTGTACAGATACCTTACTGCTTCCATCTGAAAGCCTGTGATTTTGGTAAGCTTGTAAAGTTGTCTAACATTTACAGGCATGATACAACAGCTGAGAGTGTGTGTAATAACTGATCAGTACTGGGCCAGGTTTTCACACTGCTTTCTAGACTAGGTTACTTGGAGGGTGACATACAATACCAATTGTAAAGTTAAGCCCAGCCATATCAAGCCATTTTCAAATGGCTTTGGTGCAGGCAGTGACAAGGAAACCCTGACCAGAAGGTTTTGCCAAGAAAAATTAAGCTCAAAGAGACCTCCTATAGTAAAATAGATCTCCATACAAAACCTCTATTATAGGAGGGGAAAATTCAGGCGCTAGTAATGTGGATCTAGAAATCTTCAAAAAAAAAAAAAAAAAAAAAAAAGAAAAAAAGAAGCTTCATTGTTGTTACAAAACAGGAATTTTACAAAATGAGCAATGTTGCTATAGAAGACAAAATTACACAACAGGAAATGGCTCCACATCTACATTACCTTTAGTATGGACCCCCAATCGGTATGATCCAAAAGTAAATATTTTGCCTCCAACATTCTCAATTACAGACTGAGGCAGGTGCTGGTGGAGAGATGGAAGAGATTAAAATTAGCCGTATGTGGCTTACTATTTGTTATGTAATAAAGCTACACCATATTATAAAACAAAGACATTACATTTAATTTCCCTAAACGGAGAAATTCAATAAGAGTTTCTCATCATCCAGACCCAACAAGGAATCAAAGAAAAAAAAAATATTTGATAGGTTTTCCTTTAAAGCCAATCATAGCAAATATATAAAAATGACTTAAGCGTGCATAAGGCATGCAGGGTTTAGATGACACGCATTAAAAATGCATTGTATAACAATTCCCCACAGACACTGCGCTTCAGTGTTATACTGCTATGCTACATGTTACAATGGTCTGGAAAATCAAAAGGCCTCGTCCATCTTTTTTTAAAGAAAAAAAAAAAAAAAAAGGCAGAGGATCCCATGGGACATGGATTAGTACTGATTAAAGGGGCTTGCATCCTTTGGTTAAAGTGACATTAAATGCAAAACCACCAATTCACATTCATGATACATTAATATAGTATTACAAGCAACAGTATGTTGTCAGGATTAAAATACTGCTTCCAAATGCCTTTCATGCCTGATACAACCTGGCTATGTAGCCATTTTTCAATTGCTCCACACCGCAATGTGCAGTATGTGGGCGGATCAGGCAGGAAACCTCTAATGAATCCTGCAAACAAAACTGCAGGTGGTTTTCATTTTCCCAGTGGTCACCCAGCACAGGTTGATATCCAGTGACAGCAACAATCACAAAGCTGGAGCCACCCACAAGCTGATGAAAAAAGAAAAAAAAAAAAAAAGTCACATGGTGCAGCTTGAATAAGAAGAAAGAAGAGGAGACGAATAGCTCCACTAAAGGGAAATGGCAAAGTTTGCACAGTGTAAGTGGCAACACAGCCAGAGAATCAGCTGCTACTGTGCTGCCATTACCAACAGGGTGGTCTATGGAATGGCAGGATCAACCAGGTATTTACCAAAAATAAAATATTGAAGGAGGGAAAGGTTCAGATTATAGAGGTGCTTACTGTTAAAAAAAAAAAAAAAAAATTTGCACACTAAAATGTTTGCATTTAATGACACTAATTAGAAGCAGCATATGCTCCGTTTTCTAAGTTTAGGGGACTGGCTCATGCTTTATGCTTGCACCACTCTTAAATCCCCCAAATACATGAATAACTTTTCTGGAGTTGTAGAGAGAAAAAAAAAAAAAAAAACCACAAAGACGTTAAAAGAGCTCACATAAAATCATTCACAACCTATAGATCCACTTCAGCTTACCTTCTGTTCACTGATTTCACGAATCCATTCTTTCACCAAATTATTCAACTTCCCCAGAATTAAGATTCTGTTAAAAAACAAAAAAAAAAAAACACATCTAGAATATTAAAACTTTACAGAATTAGTCTAAATTAAGTATTGTTGGAGTTCTTAAACCTAAGTAAAATAGTGATGCCCACAGCAATCAAACAGTAAGCACTAGGCAAATGCCAGCTAGAATTTTATTGGCTGCAATAGAGAAGACATGCATTTTTCTGTAAACTGGTCTCTCTTTATGCCTCTAAAATTCATTGTTCACCGGACTCACCTGCGCTGTAATTCCTCCTCTTCCTCAAAGACGCCATAAGGTTTTAAAGTCTCTATGAGTTTCTGAGTGAGACTGCAGTCTGTCTCCTTGGGTACCGCTAAGCTGATAGGAGAGGTGATGCCAAAATTCTTGGAGGTCTGTTGTGGAGTTCCCTGGTTTACAATTGGACTAAAGCAAGAAAAAAAGAGGAAAGTGTCAGAATAAAGCGCGCCCAACTGGAAAGCAGAAAAGGCTCAAAACTGAGATAAAAAAACAGTAGAATCCCCTAGATAATCCAATGCTAAAGCAGTTTCTCAGCAGTGCCATCATAATCATTTTACACTACGGGCGTGTAGGTTTGCTTTTATATGGTCATTGAGCGTTTATGAAGAACGGGTGAGGAGAAAACGGAATGAAGATTACACAGGAGTATTGAAAAGCACTTTTCGATGTATGCAGGGTAAGGTGCATGCCTGAAGGGGAAGGGAATGAGCGCGCGGATCTATTTGCATATTGGAGGTGGATGGAGCATGATCACACTTATTTAAGAGGATAATTATAGTGATGGAGAGTTGTATGCAGTCTCACCCTGTGAGGGTAAGAGTGATTAGTGTGGATATGATTCACATACTGTTCTATATTTTGCACAGGTGTATCACGTATTACATTATATGTGGAAATTACCACACTAGATTAGTTTTTTGCTTTGGAGATTGGAAGCAGATGGTCAAGAAGAAAGGAGATCAAATGATACATAACGCATTCGGATTGGGGAAACTCTGGTGAGAATATACAGTTAGGTCCATATATATTTGGATAGAGGTACAATTTTCATACTTTTGGCTCTGTATGCCACCAGAATAAAACTAAAATGAAACAATCCAAATGAATTTGAAGTGCAGACTTCAAGCTTTAATTCAAGGGGTTAAACAAATATTAAGTACAAATTTTAGGAACTGCAACACAGTCCCTTCATTTTCACGGGCACAAATGTAATTGGACAAATGAACATAATCATAAATAGAATGTTCATTTTTAATATCTTGTGGAGAATCCTTTACTGGTAATGACTGCCAGAAGTCTGAAACTCATGGACATTACCAACGACTGGGTTTCCTCCTGATGCTTTGCCAGGTTCTAACAGCAGCTGCTAGTTGTTCTTTGTTTTTGGCCTTTCGTTTTGCCTTCAGCAAGTGAAATGCACGCTCAGTTGGATTGAGATCAGGTGATTGACTCGGCAATTGCAGAATACAATACTTTTCCTTCCAAAGCTCCTGGGTTGCTTTTGCACTGTTTTGGATCATTGTCCATCTGTAATGTGAAGCGCCGTCTAATCAACTTTGCTGCATTTGGCTGAATCTGGGCTGACAGTATATCTCTAAACACTGCAGAATTCATCCGGCTGCTTCTGTCACATCAATAAACACCAATGACCCAGTGCCACTGGAAGCCATGCATTCCCATGCCATCACACTGCCTCCACCATGCTTTAAAGAGGACGTTGCGTGCTTTGGATCATGAGCTGTTCCAAGCCTTCTCCACACTTTCTTCCCGTCATTCTGGTACAGATTAATCTTAGTTTCATCCATCCAAAGAATGCTTTTCCAGAACTGGTCTGGCTTTTTTTAGATGTGTTTTGGAAAATTCTAATCTGGCTTTTCTATTCTTCAGGCTTATGAATGGTTTGCACCTTGTGGTGAACCCTCTGTATTTGTTCTCATGAAGTCTTCTCTTGACACAGAGGATCCTGCGATCATCCACCACTGTTGTCTTCCGTAGATCTGCATGCCTTTTTATGTTGCCGAGCTCACCAGTGCATTCTTCTTTCCTCAGAAAGTACCAAACTATTGATTTGGCCACTCCTAATGTTGCTGCTATCTCTCTAATAGATTTGTTTCATTTTTGAAGCCTTACAATGGCCCTTTTCACTTGCAAGGACAGCTCCTTTGAACGCATGATGTAGGTTCACAGCAATAGATTCCAAATGCAAATACCACACTTAGGAATTACAGCTCCTAAGAGTCTGGAGTTAATTCTAAACCCTTCCTCCAATTTGGATGTACATAGCCTCAAATTAAACCCGAGACTGTGCACTTTCAGCCCATATCCATTATAGAACAATAGCTTGAATATGTTTTGGTAAATACCTAAACAAACAAAAAAAAAAAAAACCCCACACTAAAAATTGTGCTTGTGTCCAAATATATATGGACCCATTTTGTGAAGGCTCTCTTAAAAACCCAACTACAGCCATGTATTTTGGTTTGGACTTGGAAAGGATTAGAACCTCAGTCAGTTTTTCTGTGCAATCTTCCTGCTAGGGACTGTCTTTGTGGAAGCAAAGGGAGAATCTCTTCAAACCAGTCAATGATCAACAAAAACATCTCTAGTAAAATACAGAAGGGTTAAATCTCTTTATAGGTTTCAATTGCAGCTCACTGGGGAGCGGAAGGGTGTGACAGAAATTGGGGGGGGGGGGCGCGGGGGTGGCAGAAATGCAGGGCTGAGCTGCCCCCAAGCAGATTTAGGTAGCAGACTGGTGTGTATACATGAAAAAGCTGACTTTACTTGTAGCGATCAGCAGGCAGCAAGCCTGAAGAACTCTGCACATTCCAAGTCAATGGGGAAGTACCAAAAACTCCCCACAACCATCTGCAATGCATGCAGATGTAGCATATGTTTGTTGGTAAAACGGAGGTTAAATCAGGTGGTACATTGCTTCCTCACCGTCTGTCAGCAGCCACTGTAGTGCAATCCGAACGTGGATCAGGCTTTAGAGGCAAGGGAGATTTAGACACGTGTCTAAATGTTCCCTAGTACTGGGACAGAATGAGAGGACATCTGCACAGCTGGGACACAATAAAACCCAGCTGTGGTTACAACCCTTGTCTATTACACCCCAGGAGAAAAAATGCTGACACTGATCTTAACGTCTTCAGGAGCTAAGGAGCCCAAAGAATCTCCAGCATCTAAAACACTTCTGAATGTGTTCAGAATGCCAGTATTGAAATACAGGCCAGTGGATGGAACCACAGAAGTCGGAGGGGGGCCAGGCACCCGACACACCACATCAGTATGAACTAGAGTTAAAAGGATAAGTTCACCTTTGGAACATGTTACATGTTACACCCATTTTTAGACTGCATTCACACTTGAGCGATTTGTAGCTTGGAGCTCCATAAACTGTCAAACTTAAAAAAAAAAACAAATGTTCTCAATGGTGCCTGTTCATACCGGACTGCGCAAACAGGCACCATAGAGAATAGATTTTTTTTTAAGTTTGAGTGTTTTTGGAGTTTCAAGCTACAAATCTCAAAAGTGTGAATGCATCCTTAGGGTGGAACATGTAACATGTTCCAGCAACTGCACCACTCCCCTCCCTGTGACAGCGGGTGGGGGATCCTCTCCCCGCACTTGCTGTCACAACTTGAAAGCAGTAAGCTCCAGCCACACAGCACTGAATCATTCATTCTGTTTTCTGCAAAGTGCGGCTGACAGCTTGAAGTTCTCAATGAACTACAAGGGCAATAGTGAGCATAGACAGCTATCCTGAGGAGTCTGCAGGTGCACCAGCTATTTGCTGATCACTGGTGCAATGCTCTGCAGGCTACTTAGAAAAAAAAAAATAAATAAATAAAATGCACATTTCTTCATTAAAAAAAAAAAAGTGCATTTATTATTTTATTTTCCAAAAGGTGAACTTAGCGGTTTCATTTTCATGCACATTGATGTGCATTTTATATTTGCTAATAAAAACTGTTGAAACTTTTTACCTGGGGCTAAAAATGATCCTACCCAGTGGGTACTCCAGGCATCTAAATGCCTGCAAATGGACAGGGAAGAAAAAAAAAAAAAAAAAAAAAAGGAGGAGGGGGACCTGAGCCGTTTACATTTATCATTTACAATTTTGTAAAGATGTGAAAAAGCTTTATTTATATCACTGTCTTTATTGTAGGTTTACTAAAAAAACACACACTAACCCCTCCAGCCCTCTTGAATTAAACTGTACTACACTCCCTTGATCCCTCCGGCTTACTTATCTCAAGGAGACAGCTACGTCCTGCTTCAGGCCATGGCTTAGTTTTGATCCTCTCTGTCCCGTCCTCTTGACCGTACAGTAAGTAACCATAGATTTGTAAAAAAAGTGACTAACTTTTCCAGTTTTAGACAATTGTACTATACAAGCCTACAGTCATTCACGGTTTAGGTACAGTCACAGCTGACGAGGTCTGTGGTTAGACAGGTGAAATAAACAGTTCAGGAGAGACTGTTCCTCTATTCTTGCTAATAATGTTTAGTTCAGGAGGGTAGGTTAGTGTACTTTTAACTAAAAATGACACTTGCATATTAATCACTTCCCATCTGACATACGTACACAGTGCCTTGAAATTTTCTGTTTTGTCATGTTACAACCGAAAACGTAAATGTATTTTATTGGGATTTTATGTGATAGACCAACACAAAGTGGCACATAATTGTGAAGTGGAAGGAAAATGGTTTTCAAAATTTTTTACAAATAAATGTGAAAAGTGTGGCGGCATTTGTATTCAGCTCTGAGTCAATACTTTGTAGAACCCCATTTCAATGCAATTACAGCTGCAAGTCTTTTTGGGGATGTCTCTACCAGCTTTGCACATCTAGTGAGGGACATTTCTGCCCATTCTTTGCAAAATAGCTCAAGCTCTGTCAGATTGGATGGAGAGCGTCTGTGCAGCAATTTTCAAGTCTTGCCACAGATTCTCAATTGGATTTAAGTCTGGACTTTGACTGAGCCATTCTAACATGAATATGCTTTGATCTAAACCATTCCATTGTAGCTCTGGCTGTATGTTTCGGGTCGTTGTCCTGCTGGAAGGTGAACCTCCGCCCCGGTCTCAAGTCTTTTGCAGACTCTAACAGGTTTTCTTCTAAGATTGCCCTGTACTTGGCTCCATCCATCTTTCCATCAACTCTAAATACAAATGCACGCGACAAATGCACGCCACACTTTTCAGATATTTGAAAACATTTTTTAAAACAATTTATCATTTTCCGTCTACTTCACAATGATGTGCCACTTTGTGTTGGTCGATCACATAAAATACATTTACGTTTTTAGTTGTAACATGAAAAAAATGTGCAAAAATGTCAAGGGGTATGAATACTTTTTCAAGGCACTGTATAAATGTCCTGAAGTGAAGTGGTTAAAGTGGTTGTA